GCCCTGCATCATTATCTACTGAGGGATGATGTATTTTGCGTGCTGCCCACAGGTTACGGCAAGTCCCTGATATTCAGCCTTATCTTTGATTGGTCCGGATTTGAACAAAGCGCGCTTTGACTCGTTCGCGTTCATTGGCTAGATCGTTCAATGAGTCATTGAGTGCGGGCTTTAAATTTGATTGGCGGGCGGCGGGAGCAATCGAATGTGGTCAGAGGTAACTTGACACGATGAAGATAGGCTATAGTGAAGAGGTTAGTGGCAAGTTATCTCTGAAGCTCAGGGTGCGGGGACCCTGCTTTTAGATTAATATTGGTTTTCTTTACGAAGTGTTACACACTGAAACTCACCGGTAAATTATCTTGAATAGTTTGGACAAAGGATAGGATTTAATGGATAAATAAAGATAATAGACAAAGGAAGGTAATTTCCTCATTAAAAAGGTTTTCCGTTTTGCATACTTATAGTTCTGGTAGATCAGATATTTGGTGCCTTACCTTCCAATCTTTAAGTAAAGAGGGGGGTACTTGTGCTACGGTGTTCGCATTTGTTGTTTGAGCAAAAGAGATTTTGCAAGAATATGTCTTTGCTTAGCGCGAACCCACGGAGGTAAGCCCTGTACCTTATCATGCTTACATTTCTTGCTTACTAACAACTATAAAAACGACAGAAACTGAAAAAAAAAATGCTGGTTTTTCATCATGTTCACTGCTCGAGATTATTGCATATCAAATTTTTGCACTGTAAAAGGAACATACATATATTTCTGCATGGCGCGGCTCTGGCTAAGTGCCTAATACAGATTAACTAACAGTAACGCCAAACTTACTGTAGAACTTCCCAAGCTGTTATTAGAAAATTAAAGAGAAGAAGGAGAAAACAACGATTTCTTCCGAGTAACCCACTTATGTACTTGTTCAGTTATGTACACGTTCGCAAATCATAGTAAGTCATGCAGTAAAAAAATTTACCCACAAGTTACAAATTCGAATAGATCATGCAACGTTACAGGAAGAGATTCAAACTTGCACACCGGACTGTACTTTACTTATAGAGACATCTACCGGTAGCAATACAAAATTATCTCAACTAACACAGTATTTCGTCACCACTGTCATATTGGCTTATGTAGAGCAAGCCCTTGGCCTGCAAGCCCCTCCTAGTCTAAATTAGTAATAACATTCAACATTGTTTTCACTATAGCATGTTAACTGTAAAACGGACAAAGCTCGTTGGATCTTTATGAAGCAAGAAAAAAACTTCCTTGAAAGTCTCTAAGGTGTGTTTTTGTTCTGAAGGTGTTCTCAAAAGTATGATAATAAACCCCTTTTTATTATCATTTTCTTGTTTTTGACACTCCTTATGGAAATAGAAATTGGCGATTTTGACCCCACAGTACTTAAATCTGACATTTAAATCCCCATGACTGGTTTATTTATCGTAATTTCCTGAAAGGATTTGGGTAAGCGTATAAGTTGGCGATTATAAGGATAAATGTCCGGGTCGGTTTTTTTTTTAATCTATTGTTAAAGGTTGTACTTGTATAGTTCGCAAAGGAAAACACGAACGATTTGTAATAGTATATTAAGTAGCTATGGGTTTATCTACTGGAACACCTGTCCTTGGTATTCTTCAAATGTGCGTCCACAGTAATAATTTAAACAAATCGATTCGGGATAGCAAAGCCAAAAGAAATTTATGACCAAACAATATTTGGTGTAAAAGTAAAAGTTTGTGCAATCCTTAACGCAAATATAACATTTTTTCTGTAGTTTGGAGTTGATATTTCAATAAAAACTGGTCCCTTACTGTCGTGCATTAAATTCCGTAATATGACAGCACCAACCGGACCGTCTCGGAACTAGCACGCCTTGTGTGAATGCGACTTACTATTGCAACGCTGCGAATGCCCCAGATGTGGTCGGGCATCTTATCTTTGCACTACATGTACATCCTTTACTAATACTGTTACAGAATTTCGAAGGAGAAATAATGGACATCATGAATTGGGCAATTTTTACACAGGCTTTGTTAATTATTCTCCTAACCAACGGCGGAACTTCACAAATAAGGTGAGGGAATTGCAGTGTTGATAATTCATATGAAGACTTGTTATTCAAATATTAGTAGAAATGAACCTAACTCCGTGCGACTGGCAGATAACATATATGATGTGCACTCAGCGGAGAAGAAATATTCCCTCTTTGACAGAATGCATTTTAAGACCCCGTTCCCACACCTAGATTGATTTAGCAGTGCAGGGGTTTCTCGCTAAATTGCATTCAGCTTAAGTGGCTTAGATGTCTGACAAGCCTACTGAAGCTGCTTAACGATATTTAATTACCCCCTAATATTTCTTACATTTAGTGTGTTTTAGTTCGCAGGTCCTTGCTCTGTGAGCAATTTTGTTTACTCATTGGTTAAATCGTGTTGCACTATGCACATGCTATATAAACGTATATAATTCAGATATTTATAATACAATATATCATTAACCGCGCCAGCCTGCCTCTACAGTTGTACCAGTAGGTGTCCCTCTTCGTCTCCGGTAAATTCATACTGGATAGGGAGATAATAAACCATATTACTCTTCATATTAACATTTTCCTGATATTTAGCTCCATTGTCACAAATACCCGTCAAATACTACCTTCTCCTACACCACTGCCCAGCCAGTGCAGTCTAAATGACCGCTTGCTGGACATCCTACAAGACACGGTCAAGGGACTGACCAGTAAGGTGGACACGCTGCAGGACACGGTACACGCGCTGCAGCTAGAGGTCGCCACATTGAAGACCGACCTTGCTCAGGTCACGGCCACAAAGCAAGGAGGTATGTCTCCAATAGCCTACTTTCTCAATCCTTCTGTTTGTGTGCTCTCCGGACTGTTTGTGCGATTTATGTTCCTTTTTTATTTTTGTCTACTTCTTTCTTTTCCAAATTATTTTTTCAATCATTAAATATGTCCAAGCACCCAAAATAAGTCAAATACTCTTTTTATGAAAATGCAAACGCCCTGAGAAGTGCACAGGGGTTACTACCCTTAGCTTGCAAAGCATATCGATGATATTTATATTTAATTATAATATGATGCTAAGGGTGCTGAATCGAAAGACTTATTAGACATTTTTTTAATACAAACTAGGCTTTATTGCTTTTTTTTAAGTGACTGGCCGAGATTGCGTAGAACTGAACAAAAATGGCGCCAAACTGAGTGGCGTGTACACCATAGAGCCAGCAGACGACAGGGGTCAATTTGAAGTCTACTGTGATATGGAGACAGACGGAGGAGGATGGACGGTAATAAAATAATATAAATACAACATTTGCTAAAATGCTCATTCAGAATATTAATGAGGACAAAATTCTACCAAAGTATGAGCGATTTGTTTCACAAAGAGGGAGACGGATGTTTAGGTATCATTTCATTTAAGAAAAAGATATATCTGAGAGTCCTTATTGTGCTTCGTTAAAATATAAGGAAGCCGAAAAGAAACGAAGGAATGGAATCAAAAGGAAAAATTGTGTTTATTATCTAAGAGAATGAATTTCATCAAGTCATTGATCAAATGGCTGATTTACAAAAGAACGGGGAAAAATACTTTTCGCTGTATAACAGAACTGCAATTTTTCCATTTAACTACATGTAGGTGTTCCAAAAGCGCGTGGACGGCTCTGTTGATTTTTACCGTGGTTGGCAACAGTATAAACTTGGGTTTGGAAATCTTAATGGAGAGTTTTGGTTAGGTACGTCAACTAAAACCAATGTATAAGAAATAAATGTAAGCCGTTTCTGATTGCACAACCAGTTGAGAAACGATATTTACAAAAGCACTCTTGAAAACCGTTACACTATATCAATGTTCAAAAATAAGCACTAAGATTGAAAATTGGTGGTAAAGTAATTTCATTACAACTAACAAAAAATATTGAAATATGCACTTCTAAGAACTTATTATATACGCAGGCAATGATTTCATCAATCGACTGACGTCTCAAGAGAGATACGAGCTACGTGTAGACTTAGAAGACACAAGTGGCATCAAGAAATATGCCTTGTACGACTCGTTTTCAATTACTTCAGAAAGAACAGGATATCAGCTAAGTCTTGGGACGTATTCTGGAGATGCTGGTGAGCATTTATCTTCTTCTTACTCTACATCTGTTTCCCATTTTCTCTTCCATCATTATTATCATTATACTCTTTCTCACTTCTTCCCCTTATCTCCCTCTAAACCACTTCTCTCCATCCTCCCCCTTCCTTTCTCTCTCTCTCTCTCTCCTCATAGGCCTCCTGTGGGTGGGGTACAGTACATGTGCAAGTGCAGGCCAATATAATAAACCATGTGAACGGTCACTCTATCTCCTGTCTTCCTGCTTCCAGGCGACTCCTTGGGGGTAGCGAACTATGGGAGCAAGGGCATGAAGTTCTCCACCAAAGATATGGATAATGATGTGTACAGTGGTAATTGCGCGACCCAATTCAAGGGGGCGTGGTGGTACTCTAACTGCCACTCTGCCAACTTGAACGGCCTGTACCATCATGGCGCCCACACCACGTTCGCGGACGGTATCAACTGGAAGTCATTTAAAGGGTAGGTGTTAACAGAATAATGTTAGAAAAGGCATACTGTACAATGTGGGCTGAATTTGTATAAAGAAAGAAGCCGTTTTTAGGAAATTGTCAATATTTTTTAATGTTTGCTTTATATTTTGTTTAATCGTTAGAAATAAAGCACCAATGGGTAAATAAATTATATAAAATGATGGGGAAATATTATTAAAAATCGGTTGTGGTCACGGAAAGCAAATTAAGGTGTAAAGTTAATACTTCTATGTATTAATAATAATTATAATAATAATGATAATAATATTACCTCCGCCAAGGAGGTTATGTTTTCTCCCCTGTTTGTCTGTCTGTCGGTCTGTCATCAACATAACTCAAAAAGTTATGGACCGATTTTGATGAAATTTTTTAGGAAGTGTCAGAAGTGGGCCTAGGAACAGATAATTAGTTTTTAGTGGTAATACGGATCAATAATCAATCAATAATCAATAATCAAAAATATTGAAAATTTAGGGATGAAACGGCATTGGATGGAGACTTTGCTGCCTTGGCGGAGGTCTGCGCTTTCTGAGTGCTTTTCTAGTTATTATTTATATTGTTTAAATCGTTTTTTCTCTTCATTTACATATTATATTTTATTTGAATGTAGTATAGAACAGTATGTCACATCGGTTCTAATAAATATGATATGATACACCCATATGTTGCAGGCACCATTATTCTTTGAAAAGGACCGAGATGAAAATTCGTCCAGCAGGGTTCAAGTTTCGTACTGCCTCTTCTTCCGGTTCTGCTTCAGTTGTGGTGGGTTGAAGGACGAAAAGTGTTGGCAATGAACTGGGAACCAGTATAAAATTCCTTGTTTCTGATATTTTATGGTCCAAAGTAAAGAAGCTAGTTACCCCAGTAATCTAATCAAATAAAGTTGAATTTTAGCACTCCAAAGTGATTATATGTTTATATCAGGCCCCAAAAGAGACAAGGAGGGTATTGGTTGGTTTCGATATTAACGTTCATGTTACAAAACGATAAACATGTATGTTGCGTAAGGACATATATTATTAATATGAATGACCTTATGAAGGGGAAAATCACCTTGGCAGTGAAAATAATTTTGATCATTTTTCTATATAGCACTTCACATAAGTACTGAAACCAGGATTTATTTCACAAATTATGTGCGTCACTGCCTTGACTCGGATGGTTATTTTTGTGGAGAGACCCAGTAATGGTTTATCATTTCACAACCAATCGAAGGTTTCCATGGCAATCAAAATTGTTCTTAAGGGGATCTTTATAGCACGTTTTCATAATACGGTTTTTCGAGGAACGGATTTTCAACCAATATTTGAAAGTTCTTAGCTTTCTACCTAACAGAAGTGGGTATCTTCTGGTTTCATAATATTTCTAGTTATTACTAGTGCTTTTTTTTTTACATTCTTTTCAAAAACATCCGTATGTACCTTTCTTATATTCCTTGCATTGTTAAATCTCTCTGATGCATAATTAAAAAAAAAACTACTAACGTGCGTATCAAATACTGCATATTGGGTGGACAGATTAAAGGTATGGTTCTTTAACATGCTATAACAAACAATGCTCTTTTACCTTGTTCTTGGGTTTAACAAAACCTACCGTAACACTTAACAACCTTGTTCATAAATTCACAAAAACGCCGATAGAAATTTGAGCTTACCCGCAGAATGATGTCTTGTTCAGATTCTTGACTAGGCGGACCATTACTGGCGTTAAAAGCAAATTTATGGACTGCATGTCATTTCTCGAATCGTTTTCGGCTTGGGAAATGGCACAATAAAAAACTGCCATCCATTCCTACCATCGTGCCTTGAGTCACCATAAACACAATGCTTATTTACCATTTAGCTAAATGTCAAATTCACACAAAAAAAATGAAAAAAAATAACTGTTAAGGAAAATGTTTAAAGTACCTGACACTTTCGCCACTGTTAACTGTGTGAGCCGTGCTGCACCAGGCGACTCCTCGCAGAGCCAGTGTGCATAATATGGAGGGTTAGGGCCTACGTAAAATAACATTTTCGCGCGAGTCAATTAAATATACAGATATTGGCAGAGGAAGATGTCATTTCGCGGTTTTACTAATTATGCAATAGTGTATGAAGTTGTTTAGAATCTATTCAGGGTCACCTTGGCACGGTGTCTTGTTTGTTATATCACAGCAGGTAAGCACGGAAGATATTTAGTTCAGTTTTTGACTACAAATGTAAGAACGTGTATGTATGTTTGTTTGTTTGTATGTATGTGTGTGTGATTATATGTGTGTGCGAACGAGTGCGTGCATTCTTTACGTAAATACACCTCGAGTTTACCCTGAGTGTCAGGGCAATGTAAAGCTAGCTTGCTCACTATACCTTTTCATGTGTTGGCTTTACAGTGTTGCTGATATGGGTTATATTTGAAATCAAGATCGAGCTGGCAATTTCGAAATCTAGAACCTAGGGTACTCGAGTTAAGAGTAGATAGACGTTTCTCCGTTGCCTTAAGGACTTGCCTTGTTATAGTCCAGAGACGTCGTACATGTACAATATAGGCCTACTTGTATGGGGAATAAAAAAAGGGAAACTTAACAGTACCATTAAATACTCTTTAAATAATTGGATAGACAGAAAAATGGCTTCACTTGGTTGACAGGGATTCAAACCCCTCAGCTAAAAAAGGTCAGTGGGTATGGGCTGTTATCGGGAGTTCGCAAACTCATCTTTCAGGTAGATAACGGCAACCTAGATGGACAGGATCAAAATCTCACGGAGTCATCAGTTTCTTCTCAAACATTACTTTTCTTTTCGGATTCAGTTGAGTAAATTAAAGAAACCCAACTAATTCAAAATTCAGATTAGTTAAAAAATATTTTTGAAAAAGGCCGGGAACATATTACTCCAGTCTTAAAAGAGCTACATAGGCTACCAATCCGACAAATATGAAGACAGGGCTTTTATTGCTAATGCCCCAAACTATGGAAAGAACTGTCCTTTTATAAAAGATCTGAAATTAATTAAACAGTCTCTCTAAAAACTCAGCTTTTAAAAAGTTTTTTTTTATGGCTAATGTTTTTAAACTTTTAAAGTAAGTCTGCAATTTCGTGCTGTAATTCTTAAGAATTTTTATTTTATGATTGTAAAGTGCAATGAAATGCACGAAAATGAAATGTGCTAGAAATAATAAAGATAACAACAACAGCAACAACAACAACAACAATAATAATAACGGGTTTCAGCAGCTGTACGTTTCGTTGCTTTTTCAGTAGATCTACAAAATGTCAGCTTCAAGTGCCCTGATAGCTGTGATTGTATTCTGCTTGTGGACATTTGATTAAACGGTAAGTTTCCAGTTTTAAAAAAATGGACTTATACTAACGCTTGCTTATACGTTATGGTGACGTGCACGTGAGCTTGCGCGTGTGTTCTTTATTTCTTTGTATGCCCATGTGGTTGTTTGCACGTTTGTTTGTTTTTTTGATTTGTTTTTTTTTTTTGCATGTGTTTTGCATGTAATTTTTGTGGACTTGGTTTGATATAAGACGAAAATGTCTCTATGCTGCATGGGGCCTAGCAGGATATTTGATATTCTTGTGATGTTCATCGCCTAGTTTGCATCACCTTCGCCTTGCCTGTTAGAAATTTTGTAAATTAAAAGGATGGATGCCCTCTACCAGGGTCGCAGATTATATGGACAATTCACCAGCGAAATTTGCCTCATAAATAAGCCAGACATAAATATGTGTGTGTGTGTGTGTGTGTGTGTGTGTGTGTGTGTGTGTGTAAATATATATAATAAAAATAATCAATCTGTGACCTTGGGTTAAGGTAAAGGTATAGACTTACCGGATATATGTTCACAGAAATATTTTTAACTCTATGTTAACAGTTACTTATCTCGCTACTTCTGGGCACATTTGTGAACCGTGACAATCTCAGCAACGAAAGTCAGAAATGACGTCATCAGGCGGCTGTCCTCGGGTAGAGAGTACCTCGAATACATCCAAGGTTTCTGATCTCTTCTGTGTAACGTTTCATATTATATTATATTATATTATATTATATTATATTATATTATATTATATTATATTATATTATATTATATTATATTATATCAGCCGTCAATCAAGCCAAGTTGGGACCTCTCCTCAGCAATGTGCTGTAACTGACCGACTGCTGGACATGTTGCAGAATGTTGTTCAGACACAGCAACAGGAACTGAATTCACTAGAGAGCAAATATGACGACTTGCTGGTTAAATATACCACGTTAGTTGAAACTGTAGCTAAGTTGCAGATTGACGTGGCAAATTTTACTTCCGAAAAGCAAGGAGGTACACACAGATAAAATTATATATACATTTTTTGATATATTGAATTACCCCTATTGCTTAGAATCGATAGCTCCATAATATATTATTTCATTTATTCATTTTCCTGTTTAGTATTCATTATCCTATGTTGCCATATAATTTGATATGTTGCGATTGAAGGTCTTGCGCTGAGACTAACACCCCATTTCCATAGATTAGATCGACCTACTTTAGATCGACCTAACTCCCAGGGGGTTCACGCTAAATAGCTGTCAGCCGGGCGGACACGAAAGTTAATTACCCCTTTACAGCTTGTAGTAGGCGGGACGGACATTTAAGTCGGATTATCTGAAAGTAATCTAGTGAGACTCCCCGCGGGGATAGATCGATCTAAAATCTATGGGAATAGAGCCCAAGCCACCAATAGAAGCTTGTCATCTGTTGTGAATGTTTTCAGCTGGCGGCAAGGACTGCGCTGAACTCTACAAGAACGGGTTAAAACTAAGCGGAGTGTACACCATTACCCCCTCTAAAGGTCAAAGTCCCTTCGATGTCTACTGTAACATGACCACTGACGGGGGAGGATGGACGGTAGGTCCAACAGCCGTCTGTCGTCGATGTGGTTTAATTCAATTTATTTCTTGGGGGTGGTGGGGGGGGGGGGGGTAGAATATGATTTAGTGGCCCAAAGTTTAATTTTGTAATGATATTGCAATAAAGCTTAAGTTTACGACATGTATTGTGTTCGCTCTAGGGCATCAAGTGTGAAGATGCCATTAAGTTGAAATATCGTCTTTCCTCCCTCTGATCATAATTCAGGGGCTGATGCAGGGTTATGTATGTGGTTCCGTAAATGTGAAGCTTACCTCCCCCCCCCCCTCCCGGTCGTGGGGTTCGGGCCCGCTGAAAGAACTCGGACATTTTTGGTATTTTAGAGGGCGAACGGTGTCATTTGGTACGGTAAAGATCTATGATTCAGCTAGTCAAAACTCTAATTTCAAGAGGGAGCCATTGATTTTTTTTTCAGAAATCGAAGGGGGGGGGGGGGGGACAGGACCTCTCTGACCCCTTCCTCCTAAATCCACCACTGTAATTGACGTGGACTGGTTATTAATAAGTCACCTCCCCCAACTCACAATTATAGGCCCCGTATGAATGTTTCCATATCGATCTACTTTTAAATAGCTATAATAAGAAATCGAACTCTATGAGTAACAGATTGTCTTGTAAATTATAGGTGTTCCAGAAGCGTATGGACGGCTCTGTAGACTTCTACCGCGGCTGGCAGGATTACAAGCACGGTTTTGGTAACTTAAACGGGGAATACTGGTTAGGTAGGCTGAATTAGAAAGAACAATATTTTTACAAACAAAATATTCCCCCTTTTATTTAATTGTCACTAATTACTGTCATAATTTACTACATGTAGATTCTTTTAATGTAAAATGTTTAACGTAAAATATTTAATAATATATATTAAAATGTATCCAATCATCAATTGAATTTATCCATCTGTGCCCTTGTCATTTAACAAATTTATTTAATAAATGTATATACAGTGTATTTATAGTTTATTACCTCATTTTTCCAAGGAAACGACCAAATAAGTCTCCTAACTCACCAGGGGCACTATGAACTTCGTGTTGACCTAGAAGACGTCAAGGGGGTGAGAGTTTATGCTCGCTATGATAACTTTGCTGTCTCGTCAGAACGGACAAATTATCAGTTAACGCTTGGGGCATATTCTGGAAACGCAGGTTTGTTTATTAGTTAACACTCGAAGCATATTCTGGGGATGCAAGTTTGTGTGTTGATGTTAATTTCACACTGGATGATATTCAGTTTTTTTGAGAACTGTGGGATTTTACCTGAACATATGTGTAGAATAATAATGCTTGAGAAAACTTTAAATAATGGTCACTAATTTTGTCAAGTTGGCCGAAGCTTATTAAAATTAGAGATAGTAGTATCCATTTCTTTAAAGTTTAATGAAAGAAAAAATATCTTCCCTTAAATACCACAGTTATAAGAAATATTATGTTTATATTGCTTTCATAATTCCTAAGATGAAAATAATAATTAAGTTAAGTAAAAGTGGATTGAGTAGTCCCTATTTCTATACTTTTATCATTCTAGGTGATTCCTTGTCAAGCCATAATGGATTTTCATTCACCACAAAGGACAGAGATAACGATGCATATGAAAAGAATTGTGCACTGCTTTGCAAAGGAGGTTGGTGGTACGAGATATGCCACGATTCCAACCTTAACGGCCTGTACCATTTAGGTGATCACACCTCGTACGCTGACGGCGTCAACTGGGAGGAATTTAAAGGGTACAACAACTCCCTGAAGACAACGGAGATGAAAGTTCGTCCTGTCGGCTTCAAATCTGCAAATATCGTCATTGGATGAATTTCAGCTTCTTACAATGACGAAACTTTATTTCATCACCTGCCAATGAAAACGTTTTAAAAGTGGAAATGAAATATTTTAGTAATGCTAAATCTATCATTTTTAACGTTCCAAAGGCAAATCTGGTCTGAAATTGAATATTTTTCCTTGCATTCAAAATAAAGTTCATATTAATGTTAAATAAAACCAAAGGACATACGATTCTACAATATGTTAAAAATATGTAATGTGATAAGCATTAAGTGTTTCTACTGCAAGGTTTGTACTGCAATGTTTTGAGAGAATATTTTTCAACAAAATCGCTTAAAAGGAGTGCCCTTTTCACTTCATCAAACTGACCGTGCTCACATAATATCTGTTCCAGCCACAGACCTTTCTTCAAACTTGTGGAATCTTATCAAACCAGTGAATTTGGCAGTCAAATAAACCAGTGTAATGTGCTCAGGGAGTTTGTTATTACTAAACTTGTTAAGGACCAAAAATTGGGTAAAAACTGTATTTTTGAAGGGGGAGTCCGCGGATGCGAAGCCAACAACCCCCCCCCCCCATTGGCGTGGGGTTCGAGGCCCGCTGAAGTGTAGCCTATTGGTTATTTAGAGGGCGAACGGTGTCATTTGGTACGGTTTACAACTATGATTCAGCTAGTCAAAATTCTAATTTCAAATGGGGATCCCGTTAGTGTTTTTTTTATAGAAATCGAAGGGGGGGTCTTGTTCTATGTTTTTTAGAAAAGTTTACAAAGAGATGTTTGTCTGAAATTTCAGTTATATATATGTATGAACGTGTAGGTGTGTATGCGGTTCTCGACTCCTATTTTTACAAATAATAATGATAATAATTAAGTTTTAACTTAAAATTAATTGGTCGCGGTGAGCGCCAGGGTTCTACAGGCCTATAAGGATGAGTAGTTTACGTTATTGCCAGATTATTTTTGTCTATCTCTCAGGGTACACTGGTATGCAGACAGTATACCGCTCAATGTGAAATGGGCTGTGGTTTAAGCATTAATATATCATGATATTTATTCATACAATATTTCTGGTTAACGTTTTATTGCAAAATAAATCTATCTAAAATATTTGTAACAACCGCTCTCATCGATTGTGCTTGGTGAGACGGCACAACGCACTCTTGACCGTTGAAAAGTCAGCCTGTTAACGCAGCTGTGTATTACATAACCCTCTCCTTCCTGGGTAGCAACAAGTGCGCCTACACAATGGCGAGCCACGTCAATACAAAAAGATGGCGGTGTAGCGATTTCGATACTTGGCACCATGGATGCTCTTTTTAGCCCGTCAGTAGCAGTTATTGAACTCAAATAAACCTCACTGCGCAACGCATTGGGTCGCTGTTATTCATTCAAGGTCGCACGTGCTATAAAACAACAGCTGGTAATCAGCTAACTAGGCCATCACTGAAAAAGACAAAGAGCCTTATTTACAGGGGTGATTTTCATTGGTCAATTTCACCACGCCTCCATAACCTTGACCTATTTGCTTCGACCGGGGACTGGACTTGAACGAACTTTTGACAGTCAAAAATGTCTCGACTTTTGCGGATTACGCAGCTTCGACCGCACCTGAGACTGGTTCAACCGTTTAGCACGGAGGCCGAGCGACTCCACGAGGTACATAGTAACTGACTTGTGTCTTAATTTATCAGCACTTTATATATAGGCCTAGTCCCTTGGCTTGATTTCGTTTAAGTGCTTTGTTATCTAAGATATGGTCACGACAAGAAAGATTATATATTTTGAGTATATATATATATATATTCGAAACCGTCTTCTTTAGAGAGTATTATTTATGTTACTTTAATACATGTTGATTATTAGGAGGAGGTATTCACCGGGGTGTGTGGGGGTCCCCCTTTCAAAACAAAATGGAGGATTTAAATCTTTCCTCAGTCTTTATAAAAAGGAAAGGAAATAACACAGGCTTAGGTTCATAGATGTATTGTACCGTAATCCTGTACCCAGTTTACAGGTCTGTTAATTAATTAAGTTAATTAAGTTTTAAAACATGTGTTTTTGTAAACAAAGGGGTAAGGGGGGAGATAGAAAACGCGAAGTGAAAGGGGGGGGTCACCTAGAGGTGAAGGGGGTTGGAGGGGGGGGGGTGGAGCAGGGGTTGCATCAAAAATTCCTCATTTTGTCATACTGAAGGCACCAATACATACATGTTAGTGTCATCGTCAAATAATAATAATAATAATAATAATAATAATAATAATAATATATTGAAATAAATAAATGATTGTCCGTTTGGTTAATGACTGAACGTGCATCTATCAGATTTGCGGCCAGTAAATGCCTATATTTGTGAAACAGTTGGCCTTTAGGACAAATGCACGTACATGTAGCCCCAAGTGGGCCCGTTTTCCTAAGTTGCATTACAGCTGATTAACATACGATGAAGTTGTAAAAGAATCACATCAAGAAAACAAATGGATATGTAGTACACATGGTGTCAGTCCTTCAAGTCATGAATATAATTTACGACTTAGAATCCAGCACGCATGGCTGACTGTGACATTGTTTAAATGACCTTTTCACATAACGTGCTGTACTTTAAAATGCTTGTGCACATTTCATTTTGGAAAACAAAGTCCGTTGTAGTGCGAACCGTATATGTTCACTGGCATTCAAACGGCGAGTATTGTGATACTCCGCCAATTGGGTGAACTTTGCGCGCCCGGTCCAATGTTTCATATTGACGTTACATTTTTAAATGTGCGCATATTGGACTTCATACATTTTACATGATGTATAATAGCAAAGGTATATTCTGTCATTGCTTATGGGTTAGTAAACGTTTTAAAACAAAAATAACATAACCTCAGGTTGAAACAGAAACGAAATAAGACTGACTTAAATGTGCTTTTTAAGCCGCTGTAAGTTACCACAATATAAACATACAGGCAACACCCTTGAAATATAGATAGTTTTTTAAAACTTCTTCGACCTGTCTATAAAGTGTATGTGTTCAATGTCCCCATTTTTATAACCCCGACGTTCTTCTATGAGAGTATCGATAAAAAGGCAAGATTATATGCGTCTTAATCATCAGGTCAGTCTAGTGCAGAACTGGGGATTTATTGGGCAAGACGCAGTGAAATAGAACCTATGGTCGTCTGCATTAATAACAGAAGGGCGTTTTATATATGGTCTCTTCACTTGACCTGCTGTGCGGAGGTCACTGGTGTTTACGGACAGCGGTCAGCTGTTGACCCACATCGCACGTGTTTTGATACAGGTATATTCTGCCAATGTATACAGGTTATCACAACTGATATCGATTATCAACCCATCACTTATTGATATCGTATGACTATTCCAGAAACACACTGCAAATTGGGAAGGACGAAAATCAACCATGGAGAGTATTGTAATTAATTCACTGGCCTTTTTAATGGTACCAAGTACATTTATTACCATTTCATAAATGCCGTCCGTCTATTATTCTATACAACTATAAATAAAGCTTCCTGGAGGGAAAGGAGTTTATGGCCAAATGTCTAACCCCGTTCAACATGAAAGTAGGGAAAAAAGTATTCCATATGCAGGCTTGGAATAAGTCTTTTTTTATTTTTTATTTATGTCATTACCCGCAGGATATTAAACCAGAGCCCTTGTCACACATTTTAACTGTTTTTTATTTTATTTATTTATTTATTTATTTATTTATTTATTTATTTATTTGTAATAATCTCTTAAGAGGTTATTAAGGAGGTCCACTTGGTCCGATAGCAAGCACAGGTTTCAGAATGATCACGTTAACCGCCATTTAGGTAGTAACGTGGAATTTATAATATTTCTATGTGTTGTTTAAAATGTATTTATTGTGGTATTTTGAATCTCATATGAAGAGATGTTATCCCTTAAAGCCCGACTTTTGTTCTAATGCATATTTTGAAACTGGCCCCAGCTGGATTGACCGGCTGTTGGAGGGTGGTCACTTTTTATCACGAACAGTGGCCAGGTGTTGGTCCATACTGATCATATTAGCAGACATTATACCTAGGATCCATTTCAACGTTACGAACACCTGTCCGAGGATTTCGTATGTGTGGGATTTTATCTGAAGGTGATTTTAGGAAATGATTCTGTGGTTGTTTGCCCTGAAAATGTCACTAGTCTGGCTGAAATTAGCTGAGCTGTAATAATAATAATGATAATACATGTAATAATAATTATAATAATAGTTCACGAAAGCTCCAGGTGAGTCCTAAAATCAACTAATTGTGAATGGTATAAAACATTTCCATACTCGTTTTATTATTTATCCTAACAAATATTGATGATGTTGTCTTTAGATGTAAGAAATTTTAACAAACAAAAGAAGAGAAAAACTTCAAGATGTATGCGTTTTACTAAACAGAAGTCGGCAATTCATATTTCTTTGACTAAGAAAATCTCACATTGAGAGTTGAACTGCATAGCTCTTGATAAATCGTGTTTAATGATCCAGGAAAACTTCGAATGCACCCGGGAACGTCACGCTAGATGATATAAACATCTGCTGTGAATAAGAATTATGCTAGCATTATGAAATAATGGTGTATGTGAAATAACCATTTGCCACCCCGCTTTCTTTATATTTATTTATGATTTCATTGATTTAATTATATAAAAATATTATTGTTGTTGTTATTATTATTCCCTTCTGTGATTTCACTACTGAAAACAACTGTTCTCTCAGTTGGAATTAGTTGACTATTTAGATGATTTTGAGATATATTGTGCTTCACAAATAATTGAAGTAGTTATTCTCGCAAAGTCGTTTGAAGTCTTGTTGGGTGAGGTGAATAAAAGAAACTATGTTCCGAGAGTGTAACTGATGGATAAAACATGGTAATTTGCTTAATGTTTCTTAACCAGGACAATCTCGCATGATCTATGTGCATTTAATCACACGGTATTCGTGCAGCTACTTCTCAGTCTAAATCTGTGGGAATTAACATATTGTTGTATGAGCGGTTTGATGCTCACCCGTTCGTGGTAAAGCCCGAGTGTAATGTCTCTTTTATTTTGGGCCTGTTAGAAGTATCTTATCAGAGCATGGGATCTAGTTAGACCATATTAACTGTTATTGTATGGTTATTGTTATTCAGCCCCTTGGCGAGAAATTTCAAAAGGGGGGTTCTTTTTCTGAAAAAGTGGACCTTTTACCATGAAACCTTCATGTACCTACATAAAATTTTACCCAAAGGGGCCCTCTCCAACCCCCCCCCCCCCCCCCCCCCCGGCCACGGGCCTATTATTCATAATTTTTTTATCATGGTGCCCGTATTTTCTATGAGAAGAGAAAAGTAATCCCTCGGGAGCAAAAGGGGGACACATGCCCCCCCCCCCTGCTTAATTTATTACTGTTTGTACACTATTTTTGTTGTGATTAATAAGGTATCATTCGCTGACAGTCAGACTTCGTTACGGAAATGAGGGCCGTGATAGTCTGACTGTCAGAAGACGAATTTTTGGCTGGTAAAAATCTATTAATTTTTTTCGATAGATATTGACAAATAAATCTTCATGGGTCATTTCAAGCACAAAGCTGTTAAATATATTTTTGATGTATTTCCAGCTTCCGTATAAATACCCGGAAGTGACGGGATTGCCAATATGGATATTGTTTGTACACAATTTTTGGTGTATTTCCAGCTTCCGTTTAAATACCCGGAGGTGAAGGGTTCGCCAATATGGATGGAAAAAATGAGAACCTGGTTCTTCAGACAAGATGTCGACCGCGACGGCTACCTGAGCAAGGGTGACTTTGAACAGCAGGCCAGGCGGATCACTGAATTTATGAAACTTAACGGTAATCGATATTAAAGTAATTATAATGGGAAAAAAGTAAAATGATAAATGTGACCAAATTAATAAATAAATATAAACATGTTTTAATGATGCAAAATAATTGCACTGAATGAATAGATGTTAAGTGAATGAATTAATAAATAAATTGTAATTGCAAGAAAAGATACCAGTATGGATAACTAAATAAGTCACATGCACGTGGCGTATTCGGTTTAAAAATGAAGTGCGACTTATTTGACAATGGTGTTGACATGCAGTTTGCTGAACTGGATTATATAATGTATTTATTTGATATATTTTTTACATAAATATCTTCGGTACATTCCCTCTCTTTCAACTTTTATTTTAATTGTTTTTTTTTTTTTCAGACGAACAAGCCAAAAAACTGATGGACAACCGCATGCATATTTGGAAGTATTACGTCAGCGGTGACCCTGACAACTCGGACACTGTCAAGATCCCGGATGTGGAAGGAAAACGTCGCTTTCTGTTGGCTGTCAACTCAACATTACGTCAGAGCTTCTTTGAGACATTCAGCATTCACTTTGATGGTATTGACCTTAACAACGATGGGGAAATATCGCAAGAGGAGCACGCTGCCTTTTTCTATGGCTACAACATCCCTACGGAGTTTTCTCCGGAGGTCTTCAAAACTTTAGACACGAATAACGATGGGCATGTAAGTAGGGAGCAGTTCCTGACGGCCTATCTAGATTTTATATTCAGTGAAGATCCGGATAGCAAACATGTGCACTTTTGCGGACCTCTTTTGAAATGATGTTCAGTAGGGAACGCATCTTGAATAATTGAATTCATCTCCGTATCGGGTGAACCACGATTTGAACAGTTGAAACTAAAAATAAGAATCACGTGCTGGACTAGCATAATCACGATATGATAAGTAGAGAAGGCCGACCTTGAAAAAATATCAGCGTTCTCTTAAAACTTTATTCTGCGAGAAATTACTCAGCTTTTATTACTTCCTTATATTATTTTGACAGACTATAATTTTTTATTTTCTTTGTCGCTTGGTGGCAGTGTATGTTTTTCAGCTTTAACGAAACACGTTTTTGATGGAATGATGGCAGTTTTAATGATAAAATAAGCTGGCGCAAACACATTTTACATTGTATTACAAAGGACAAACAACCATAAATTCATTACACGATGAAACCTGCAAGACGTTTTTGGTACGGCTTGAGGTTAGTAATATTTGTTTTGGAAACAGATTTTATCTCCGTATCGGTTAATTGATTTTATAAGTTTTTTGTTGGGTGTCTTTTTTACATTTTTGCGAATGCCGTCAATGACTGGCAATTAATATCTTTATACTGATAATTGCAAGTGGTTTATTTATGCACATGGGAGCAGAAAAATTAAATAAGTTGAAAAAATTATTGCGTTATTGCATTTGTTCTAAATGTAAATCCTAAACATGGGACTGGTCATAAAAAAGTCCTTTTAAAGTCGGCTTAGTCAAGTGTCAGTGGCGGTGTGTTATCTGGCCAAATACCAAGGTAATAGTACCCTGCAGCAAATTTTAATGTGTTGATAAAATAAACTTAATCCTATATTCTGGGGATTAATTTTACTCCTTTGATGATAGATTTATACTGTTATTGCTAATAAGTACTCCTCACCTCATGCGCAGTCTTGCTGTAATTCTTTATTCTCGTTTTAAGCTGACTCGCATGATGTCCTTTACCTGCAGTCAACGACCAATACCCCAGTACCTTTATCATGTACCAGTTCTCCTAAAACTTGAAAACACCGTCTTTGAAGTTGTTTGATAAAAATATAAAGCTGTTGTTGGCATTTTTTTCATTTGACTGTGCTATGCAGCATAAATAATTTTTAATCTTTTGGGTATTTGTTTATTGGAAATCCAGGACATTCTCCTTACCGCTGACGAATTTTGAATGACTGGATTCCCGAAGTGTCTGTAACCTGTCCTAACACGCTGCTCATTGTGAAACTTGGCACAACTAAAGCAATTGGATATTCTAAAACGGACGACTGACCAAACACATTTTTTCCTTTCTGCGTCACATTTTTAAAAATTGATATTTTTGTACCTAATGTTTTCTTTCGTTGTTTGACTGTTATTATTATTTATTTTATTATTGATATTAGTAAATTAATTAATTTTATTTATTTATTTATTTATTTATTTATTTATTTATTTATTTATTTATTTTTTTATTTATTTATTGCTTCTAGATCTCAGTAACTTATTCCGAGAATGAAAGTATACGTCAAAAGTAAAACCTGAAGAAAGTAATAGCAATAAATAATAATTCATGTAAAACGCACTTTTAGGGGAAGAAAACCTAGGATTTTCCCCTCGCTTTTCTACATTCTTAAACTGGATCTAACAACGCTGTTTAATTGATTCAAACTGCAAATAACCACGCCCTGTTTCTATGGATTTTTAAATATTATTTCCAAAATTACGTGGGGATCGATGGAGGTCGCTTGTAGTGTTATATAGGGGTGCCCTGATCGACCAAGCATTGTTCACAGTGCTCCGATGTAAGACCAGTCATGCCTGTTTCTCCGACCTTCAAGTCTAGACGCCCGAAATGATATTTCATATACAGACACATCGCGGGCACCAGATGGAATTGTGATTTGCCTTTCGTTTGAAATGTGCGTTAATACGATGACCTTTAGTAATAAACTTTTAGTTTACAAATGTTTAGAGCGAATCTGGATCACACGTGCTGTAGCTTTAACAGCATAACAACGTAATCATAATATATTATAATATTACATTTTGTGTATATGTCAGGCGGCTTAATATAAGGAACGATACCACCAACAAGACTCAGATCTGTCTATATTATATTTCAAAGATACAAGTAGGAATGTTTTATGAGAGATACAACTTTTCCTATGTTTTTAAAATTTGGTTCAATCAGAAAATGTAGAATGGGCATACAGAACAAACTACATTCCATCACAAATTAATAGAGCGACAGGTCATGCACCGCTGTTCATTTTTATTGTATGGAAATAGCTTGAATGTTCCAATTACTTTGATGAATTAACGTGGAGAAAATAGGGCATCACGATGTTTGAGGAAAAACCAGGAAAATCTAAACAGAATAAGCTGCCAGTTTGCAATTGGTGGATATTTTGATAATTGCGGAAATTCCTAAAACCGCTTGCATGTGGCCGGTTGTTCCACTGACCAGGATGCAATTCAGCGTAAATTTTAAAAGAAAAATAACATTTATTTTAGAGGGAGATACTGCTTCCAAACAGGATGTACACTATACCAGTAGAACAAGAATTGCCGCACGACTGTAAAGAACCATATGGCAATCTTTTCTGGATTTGGATTGTTTCTTCACGCAGTGATACATTTCCGGTCAGCACAGGTTGTGAATACGTTTCCCATGCAAATAGAGAAATCCAATCAAACATAATTCTTCTTCTTCTTCTTCTTCTTCTTCTTATCAATCACTTAATCAAAAATAATTGTGCGTAGATTTGGACATTTCCGCAATAAAACATAAAATGTAATAAATATCTTCCTACAAAGAGGCGAAAAAGATTTAACATTATCAAATGCGTGTATTGTATACTTTTTAAAATGTATCTAACGAAAAAGAGAAATGATAAAAAACGTTTAGAAATATTTAATTGCAGTATTTAATGGATTGCAAATATTGAACGCCTTATGTAGTTTATTTTTAAAATGATCTTATTACGTATATCAGAACGAATTTATTATGCGATTTCATAATGCGAATTATGTTCGTGATTTTGTATTTAAACCCTTTTACCCTTGTATGCCTTTCATCCTTGAAGTGGACAAATAAATGAATGAATAAGAAAATAATCATTGTACAATCCAATTGCTTTATTTTTGAATAAATATTATTATTATTATTATTATTATTATTATTATTATTATTATTATTATTATTATACAATGTGAGCGGGACAGTAAGAATCACCAACCGTTAAAGGGATAACTGTTTGTTTTGGCCAAATATGAATTTTCCTGGGGTAAACAGCAATTTTCCCATACTTACCAATGGTTATTCCATTTCTACATTCAAAGTTAGTCCCTGTTTTTTTTTCTAAAAAGTTTTTTTTTTTGGTAATAATCTCTTACGATATTATTACAGAGTATAGCCATCTATGGAGGTTACGTGGTCAGATGGCAAGCACAGATTTTGGATTTACTGCTATTTAACTGCCCTTTTTGTGGTAAAATAGAATATATATGAGTTGTTTACAATGTATTTATTCCGCTAGGAACCGTAGTACGCTCCCCCATTACTTTGTACAGGTGACATTCGTCCCATATCCTAACTCTAATACTCCGAGTAACCGGATGGGAGCACGGACATTCATTCCTAGGGCTACAATGTCTGTCACATCGGTTTCAAATCTTGATGTCTTCCTTGTACAGCTATGAAGCCGTACAGACTTTTTTTATCTCTGGAAACTCTCCAACAATCTGAAGGCCACCCGTCCTGCGTGTGCCCTTCCCTATATACATTGAATCTTTCCTTCCCGAAGTCCCAATCTGAAAGGCCCTAATCACTGGCCCTGTGTTTATATCCGCTAGTACGGTTATAGATTAAACACTTTTGGAGCAATTGTATACAATGTTTGACTCTGTTTCGATAATTCATGAGTATATAGAACATAGGACATTACTTAGTTCAATTTTCACGAGAAATACTATCGTAATGTCATGCCATATAACATCGTGCTTTTTGTATTACTTTGACATTTTGACTATGCTTCATAGCGTTGATAACAATGTCTATTTTAGGGTAATATTTTTGGTGTTGTAGCAAGTTTAGACATAGAGAACACACTAGCAGCTGTGGATTTACTGATAACATAATATACATGTAAAATGCAATATGCATAAGACATTTGTATAGCAAAGATTCCATAATCAACATATCTTACCATATATCATCAAATTTCACAACGTTGACATTTAGTCACTATCCTTAACAGACTTTTGCGTTTTAAGTTTCTAGTTTTTGGGTTTTCTAGCCATTGGGAATAGAGTCTTGTCAATTCATCTCGTGACTGTAAAAGCAGACAAAAAGGGCTTGAAAAGGAGTTTATAGATTGCGATTTCCTGACCCAACTATTCACTGGACCACCCATGCTTAGCCTTTCCTTCAATATATTTAGCAATGACACAGTGACTGAAATGGCACCCAAACCTTCTCAATGGGTAACTAATCTGTTTTGATTATTTATGTTGTCTAAGGAAGTGGGTTGCAGCGTCTTAATCGAAGTAAGACAAACATAAAAAACAATGTTCGGATATACTTGCAGAATGCATTACGGTTATCTTACGGTCAATGTCAAATCAGACACATTTTAATTTTAATCAGTGTATTTTAGAACAACTAATATAAGATCTACGGAGCCTTTGGGCTGATTTAAAAAATCGTCTATAAATATGTATGTAAGAGTCTTTGTCTACTATAATGACATACCCCATTTTATTGACCTGAGCTACTGATCTTAACAAATAGATTGAAAGGTGATTGCCCAAAGTACAACGACAGATAAACACACTAATGTCCATCACAGTAGTAGCCTCATCAGGAAATTACTAGCAGCAAATGTCCAACAAGATAAAGCCCAAGGTGCCTTTGGCCTCTTCTATCAACTGAAATGACTTTCCCTCAAGAGCAAGTACTTGAAAAATATTTATGGTGTATGTATAGGTTCCAAAACCGATTGCTAACGCCGAACCAGACAGTTTCCAGACAGCAATCTTGTTGTAGGAGCTCCCGAGTGTTTGCCAGTCTTTAATGGATGATTTATTCTCGGAACAATAAATATTCCAAAGCTTTTGAGATGTATGTTCTGTGTTTCTAATGAGATCAGTATTAATTCCAGGCGCATTCTGGTGCGTGTTTTATTGCTCCTATGTCCTCAAAGTCGGCAAAATTGGCAGACAAGCAAAATTTCAGAACGTTGATTGAAAGAATCTGAGGTCAAGGCAAATATTCTTAGGATACCGTTTCACATTTCTGTGGTGTTTACATTCTTTGTATTCTGATTAATTCGTCTGAAATGTGAAACAGGGTGATTTACAGGATTTCACAGTTTTGACTTCACTTTGGAGGCTGAAAGCTTCAGTCGTCTATTATGATTGTAGGATGACGTCACACTAAACAGGATGATCATGTCAACGTACTACGTCACAGGACAAGCCCAATGTGGGAAGTATCTATCGCTCAAAAATCTTATACCGGTAGTCTTTTGGGAATATAGAGGGGACTGGCAATATCTGCGAATTATATGATGCCTGTGCCATTTATTTACCAAGACTTGTTATAATGAAAACGCTAATGAATCTACATGTAATGATGAATAAATGTCAGAGTATATCAGATTG